GACCTAATTTAAGCGACAAGTTTGATTGTTGCTTGTCAACATTATTATCCAGGAGATAACTGGGGTGCTGTCCATGTACCAGTTTCTCAAGCCATGCATTTCTGTTCTGTGGGACCTCCGTTAATGTAGCTTGGTTCTCAGTTGCAAGTTGTAATAAGATTATTCGTTTATCATTTCTATTGTTATCTGATGAAGTGGAACTGTGATTTCATGGATGCAATTTCAGAGTTTCACTGTTTAAGTCACACAGAGATTCTTGAGGTCAACAAGCCTGCCCCCACCCCACCCCATGTTCTATGACAAATTGACACTCTATGTACACTTGGATGATGGTACTCCTTATTCCAGAAGGACTCAGGTTTTCCTGTTTAAATCATCAGGACCATTGTACAGTGGTGCCTCGACTTACAAACGTCCTGACTTACGACCAATTCGAGTTACAACCAGCTCCGGCCGCAAAATTTTGCTTTGACTTGTGACCGACGCTTTGAGTTACGAATGGAAAAAAAGGTGGGGAAGGCGGGGAAATTGAACTGCTTTCAGTTAACCGTTGCTCCGCGAAGAGGCTGTTTCTCTGTAGCTCTTTCACCCCAGTGGTTAGAGAGTGTGGGTTCAGAGAGAGACTTCGGCCTGCCTGGTACTGCCTGGTACTGTATTGTATTTTTTTTTGGGTACTTTTGTTTTTTAAAATTTTTCCTTTTTGGATTTTTGCTTTTTGACTTCTGCCTGGTACTGCCTGGTACTGTATGGTTTTTTTTTTTGGTACTTTTGTTTTTTAAAAATTTTCCTTTTTGGATTTTTGCTTTTTGACTTTTTTTTTTTTTTTTTTTGGACTTATATACCGCCCCATAGCGCTACAAGCACTCTCTGGGCGGTTTACAATTTAATTATACAGACTTTCTTTTTTAAAACAGAGAGACTGCCTGTTCTGGGGCTATACTGTATGTACAGGGTTTTTGCAGCATGGGTTTGGGCTAGGGGGTTATGTTTCTGTGCTCTAATGGGTCTTGCAGTGTGTAGTTGTAGCATTTTTAGTCCCTGCTAGAATTTTTTTTCATGTGGCTCCTAGGGTTTGTGTACTGTGACTTTTCTTCTGGTTTAAAAGGTGTTCGTTTAAAGTGTGTGGGTTTAAAATGTGTTTTAGACTCCAAAGTCTCTCTCCCACATTGTCTTCTCTATCTATCCTCTTTCTTTTTGTGCTTAAAAGCACAAACCTTTGTCTGAAGGGTCTGTTTGCTGGAATAGTTGCTGGAATGTTTTTTTGTTTGTTTGTATTCTGTGGCTCATTGGGTTTGTCTACTGTGACCTCTCTTTTGTTTAAAAAGGTGTTAGTTTAAAACGTGTGGCTTAATACGTCCAGTGGACCCTCTACTTACGGAATTAATCGGTATTGGAACGGTGGTTGCAAGTCAAAAAGTCTGTAGGTCGAGTCTTCATTGACCTACAATGCATTGAAAACTGATTAATGCCGTAACTGGCCATTTTTGTTCCATTTTTGTTCCATTTTGGTTTTTTTCTGGTCTGTAGGTCCATTCTCTGTCTGCAAGTCGAACCTAAATTTTGCAGCCAGAGAAGTCTGTAACTCGAAAAGTCTGTAAGTTGAGCCATCTGTAAGTCAAGCGTCCACTGTATTTTAGACTCCCAAGTCTCCCCCCCAATTGTCTTCTCTCTCCTCTCTCTTTTTGTGCTTCAAAGCACAAACCTTTGTTTGAGGGGTCTGTGTGCCCCAGTGATAACCTTCTTTCTTTCCTCTTTTCCCCATTGTTTCCTCCCTCCTTTCCTGCCCTTTTTTTAACCTAAGTTATCTTAGGTTTTTAAAAAAGGTCTCCCCTAGTGGTAGTGGATGGATTAACCGCGTTTCCATTAGTTACTATGGGAATAAATGCTTCGACTTGCGACTGGCACCTTGAGATACGACCAAAAACGGCCGGAACAGATTAATCGCATTTCAGTGCATTCCTATGGGAGATGGTGCTTCGACTTATGACCATTTTGAATTATGACCTTCTTCTGGACCGAATTAAGTTTGTAAGTCGAGGCACCACTGTATATCCAATCTGCAATTCAAAAAGGATACATTAGTACATGGTTTTCCAAGCTATTAATAGCACTATGTTTTCTTTTTTCAACAACTTCTGTTTTAAATACCACTTTCATTCTATCAAAGTACTTTAAGTATTGCCTCAGAATTTTCTATACCTCCAATCATGGCAGCCTGCTCTGTTGCCTTCTACAAGGAACGGAGCCGTCTAGGGAGATGTGACTCTTTGAAAGGAAAATTAAAATCATCTATCTGGATTTAGATATCTTCAGCTCACTTAAACTGGAGCATGCGTACTATTTTATTAAAAACAGACTTTAAGTAATGAACAACAAGGCGTGTTGAGTGCTGCCAATAAGATCTGTTTGCCTGTATACATGTAACTCCTGTTCAGTTGTGGACATATAGCAGTTTAATTTTATTTCTTAGAAAGTCGTAATGCCTGGAGTGCCTTTTCGTTAGCCAGAAGTAATGCTGTGCTCTCCAGTGCTGTATACGCTAGATTTTATTTGTTTATAGGTTCCCCATTTACTATTTTATTCTATTTTATTTTATTATGCCAATAAAAGTATGAGGATGATGAAGTACTTGTTTCTGAATAACAATTTAAGTTCTTTGTGGTTTATACTGAACTTTTCATGGATGCCTAGATATTTATAGGTTTTCTGCTCCTCTGAGCATTGAATAAACTGTCCATTTGTGAGCTCATGGTTCCTGCCCTCTAAGAACCTGCCTCTTTTCATTTGAATAGTAACACATTTATGAACAACAGAGTTTATTTGATATCTGTAAGACTCAGTGATGTTTAAGAGACTGTTCCACTTATTAAGACAGTTTGCAAACAACTTAATATCATCCATATATGTTAAGTTTGAAACAACCAAATCATTTATCTAATTAGAGTTGTAGCCTTAACTGCTATCACTGAGATGTCTAGACAGGAAATTTAAAGCCATTCAGAACCATGAAGAGTTTAAAGAATCATCCTGAAAAATACCTCTCTGAATAAGGATATTATTAGTTGGAAGGTCTCTGTCTTTCACTTTATTGTGAGTTTTGATAGTAAATGAACAAATCTATTATTAATTTTGTAGATTTCAGAATTTCAAGCAGCTGTGAGTGGGCCAAGAATTGAATTACTTTTGGTAATCAATATAAGCAAGTGATAAACGTCTTGAGTTCCTTCGAACCTGATTCAGTATGAAGGAGTCAGTTGTGATCAGTTCCTTAGAGCTGTGGGTTTCTTAATGTAGTGTCTCTGCTGGTCTGTTAAGACATAGTTGCATTCAAAAAAACTGTACATGTTTGGGGAAATAATTGATGTAAACAGCCTGTAAATGATGAGTAAACAGGCAATAGATCGGTAAATTTTACAATTTAACTACTCACTATATTTATAAAGAAAATGGGTTATTTGTTTTGTGAAGAATATTGGAATAATTTCAAGTTGCCAGGAGTCTCATTTTAAAAAGTAGGCAAATGTGAGGGGGTTTAACTTAATTTTTTCCATCAAACCTTTTGAATCTCCTCCATCCTGGGGGCTTTAAGCTTTTTAAAGACAGACTGTGTCCTTCCTAAGGTTGTTTCTCCTTCCACCACAGAGAAAAGCAATGGTTTTTCCTGTTTGGCCCTGAAGATCCTTTACATGTGGCTCTAATCTTAATTGCCAGGCAGGCTTGTTGTAGGTTTTTCTTTCTCCTGCTTTGTGTTCCACGATCTTAAAGGAAAATGTAACAGTTCACAAATGCTTGCTGCTAAGCAATAAACTACTGTGTGAATTGAGTGAATATTACTCCATTCATGCAGAAAATTGTTTCCAATCTGATCTAGAGTTAACATTATATTATAAACATAGACCAGACGGGCGGGGTATAAATCAAACAAACAAACAAACAAACAAACAA